CTGGACGGGAGGAATTAGCTTTAGCCAAAGAAATTGGTGAAGTAGATTCCGACGGAAATGGGTTAATAACCGTTATAGCTGATGGTGCTTGGTCAAAAAGATCGTATAAAGTAAACTACCATGCTTCTTCAGGTGTAGTACCTGACGTTGTAAAATTTATTAAATTAGTACGCCTTTGATGGATAGGACATGTAATTAGGCGAGATGAAGATGAAACGATCAGAAAAATTTTCGACCGAAGAGGACCAGTGGGAAGACGATCCAGAGGAAGACCAAAACTTAGGTATCAAGATAACATAGAGGATGATCTAAAATTCATCGGAGTTAAAGCATGGAGAAAGTTGCTAGAGGCAGGGGCGAATGGAAGATTGTTCTGAAGAAGGCTTTGGTTCATGACGAGCTGTAATGCCACTGATATGATGAAATAACTATCCACGATTTGTGTTTTATTCATCAATTGGATACTTTTCTTATGTAACTGCAACCTATAAATATATTAAAATAATGTATATTCCATTCAGAGAACATTTTCCTCGCAGTGCGTCGCCTCGAAATACTTGCCAGATAAATACATTTACTATTATGATGGTTTCGCAAGTACCAATTTTTTATTGATAAATAAAAATATTTTTTGTTTAATTTTTACTACGCTAATATCAGTTTTCTCTAACAAATATTAACAAAATATTAATTATATATTAATATTAATATAACAAAATTTAAATTTATTATAAACAAACACCATGGTGTTTTTTGCAGTCACGTTTCACAAATTTTTATTTAATACTATGTTTAGCTAAGACATATAAATTAAAAATGTGATTTATTCTTTTTAAAACATTATCTACGATAATTAATCTAAAAAAAAGTATTCCGACAAAACTAATTTGAATGGAGAATAATGCATTTATTTTAAACAACCCGTGGGCCGGCGCCACTGAATAAACATCCAAACTATTAGGAAGTCACGTAGGGTCTGACATAGCAGTGTAGAAAAGTAAGTGATACGCCCACTTCAAATCGCAGTATGCTATAACTGCGAAAACAGCCTTAACATGTAATAAAACTGTTAAAATATCTGAAACTATTTTATTCTATTTTGTGTTAAGCTTCATAATTATATATAAAAATTTACTTTCTGTAGAGTGGCCATATTAGCGACACCATGTTGGTAATAAGGCCAATAGCAGTATTTTTTAAATTAAGTCATAAATATCATATTTTTATCAATTTTTGAAAAATTATACAATAAATATATATTTAGATAACAAATGTAACTATAATTACAGTTACTTTTTAAAAAAATTATATTTTTTGGCCACAAATACGGACAAAAGTTCTTAAGGTGGCCATATTACCTGCACATACCTTACATGCTGCAAATGATGAGGGTTTTATTCCTGACGCTAGTTTAGTTTTTTCGTCCACAAAAAATACAGGTGATTACCATAGAAATGTGGATGCAAATATTTTTGAAGAATAGTTTGAAGAAATTTTATTAAAAAAATTGGAGCGACCATCCGTGGTCGTGTTGGAGGTCCAGTGTTGGATAATGCATCCTACCACTCAAGAGTAGAAGAGAGATTTCCTTCATGCAGCTGGACAAAAGAAGAAATAAAGTTATGGTTGATAGAAAAGAAAATTTATCACAGTGACATACTTTTAAAAGTCGATTTACTTCAAAGGTGTGAAGAGCACAAAATTCAAAAGCAGTTTTTTACTGTCCAAATCGCTTTTAAATATAGCCATGAAGTTCTTCGACTTCCGCCCTACCATTGCCACTATAATGTAATGATGTTAGTTTTGGGGTATAGCCAAAAATTTTTATGATAAACATGCTTTCAAACCAACAGATGCCGCTAGCGTTCTTAGTTTATGGAAATAATTGCTAGAACAAATAAAGGCAGAACAATGGCAAAATTGTATTAGACATGCGGAAGACATAATCGTTCAGTCTTTTCAAACCTAGCGAGTTATAGATGACGTCCGGCTTTTAATTATTCGGATAGACAATTCAGATAGTGACGATTCTGATAGTGAAATATCAGACCGTGAATAGGACAAATCATTTGCTAAAAATCTCTTAGCATATGGATGAAATATTAATGATCTAGTGCTGACGACGCCAATGAGCGTCACGCGATAAAAAGATAAAATTTAGCAAAAACATTATAAATGTATTCTGCCAACAAGAAATAAACCACAGTTATAACGATTTACAAAAAAAAATACTCTCAGCACCTATCAATAGTATATCGTTAGGCTTTAAGCATGCGACGTGTTAACCCAGATATTACTGAAACTTTTATTGTTAACATTTTGAATTAATTTCGAATTTTCATGGAAATTATAGCATATGGAACCAAAAACACAATCATATATTTTTTTATGACGATACCTGTCAAGTTTTGACATGTTCTTTTAAAAGGACGGTAGTAATATACGGTACCAGATATCATATATATTTGATTAGTATCAATTTACAAAGAATGAAAGGATTTAAAACAAAATTTTGGATGTAAAGGTATTTTGCACTTTTCACACAAAAACTGGACTTTTTTTGTGACAATATTCATATCGCAATTGCTTTTCTTGATAAAGAACCAAGTGGTTAATACCGTCATATCTTGAATTGGCTACTGAATTCGAATTCCGCTTAGAAGGTCCGCGTTTTGTTTCTTTTTTAAAAGTTTCCAAAATATTAGTTGCAATAGATCTTCTAAATTCAAGTTGATCCAGTTTACCGTCTTGAGTTTTGTGAATCTGCCACGCATTTTGAATAGCCATATCAACGCAATGAGCAAAAAGGGGAAAATACCATTTCTTTCCTCTTATGGACACTCGATATAAACTGATGTTCTGGTCACTGCGATCAACGCCACCCATGAAGTTATTGTATATTCTAACAATATTTGGTTGAGGAACTTGAATATGTTTGTTCTCTGCTTGTGAAAATCTCTTTACAGAGAAGCAAGGCATTACTGGTACAAAATTGGAAGCAATAGAAACGATATTATCATGGGAGCGGCAAACCACTATTCCTGTATTTTTATCAAGACGATACTCGTATTTACCACGTTCAGTTTTTTTCATAATAGATGAACAGGGTAAAGGGCATTTCATGGTGCGATTTTCCCTTACAGTGCCTGTACCAAATATGCATCTTTGTTTTAGCTCATGCAGTAAATGAATAGAAGTAAAATAATTATCAAAAATAAGATGGAATCGCCTTTGAGGCCATACTTCATTCAATCTGTCTGCATAGGATAGAACTACTGATGCACCCAATCCAAGGACTTTATATTGTTCAGGTATTATAGTGGAATTACCTTGGTAAGGAGAAAACCAAACTATGTATCCCACATTTTGTACCCCCAACGGATTGGTTTTCCCCTGATGAATTGTTTTGTGGGATGGCGACCAAAATACGGAACCATTGCCTCATCTATGCTGTGATGTTGTTCTAAAGGGGAAAATTGTATAAATTTTTTGTTTATTACGTCGAACATACGTCGCATCTTGGCAAATCTATCAAATTTATCTAATGACAAGTTATTGCAAGCATGCAAAACTTTCATTATGTGGGAAAATCTATCCCTAGATATAGCAGCTACCACCATTGCGTTGTGCGAATCGTCACGATTTTCCCAGTACATGTACCTTTTCGGCACAACCACATAACCACTCAATACAAGAACGCCTATAAAACATCGAATCTAATTTTGAGTAATGTCGTTCAAAAGATTTCTTTGTTCTGAGTAGATGTTAGTGTATTCGGTAACCAAATTGATGACTTCATCATCAAAAAACAAATTGAAAATTTCCATCGCGACTGAGTCATTTTCGGTCCAAATTGAGTTTTCCAGTAAGTACAATCAGGGTGTTGATACAAGTCTCCTTGAATCCAGTGTGCAGATATTCTCTTCTATAATTGATGGAGCAGCTTTTCCTTGAAAAGAAACAAAGCCAATGGTATATTGTCATCATCCGAATCTTCTTCTGGTAGGCTGGAATTCACAGAATCTTGTGGTAATTCAGTCGCGTTCTCAAAAACAAGTTCTACATCGTTTCTCATCTGACTACCCGGTAAATTATTTATTGTAGTTCTTCATCGCCGGAGTCGCAATCGGTGACATCATCATTGGCATTTTCTGGGGGAAATATGATCAAACCATCTGGAGGGACTGGGAGTTCATCAGAATCAAGCTCTTCTAATAGCTTATGCAATTTGAGAGGCCTCCTGAAACAATACGCACGTTGGTAGTACTAATTACTACCGTCCTTTTAAAAGAACAAAATGAAATCCCAAGCGGCGAGCCTTTGAAACAACGTGACAACTATTCGAGCCAAAAATATACGTACATAAGTCCCTATTATACAATAATCCACATGCCAATGCCGTGAAATAACAGTTTTTTAATTCTAGACTTACCTCCAATTATAAGCATCCATTTTGTAGTCCAAAACCTGGCAATTTACACAGATAACCTCACAATTACAGCATGTGTGCGCACTAAAATCGTTAAAACTTGTCGAATGCTGGCTCTTGAAAACACTCCATCTAGAGCCATCTATCAGTTGGTAGCTGTACTAACCTAAATTACGCATAATTTACACTGCCTTTTAAAAGGACGGTAGTAATATCTGGGTTAAAGAAATAGACAACATGAGACATTTCAAATAATTAATAAATTTCATCCCAACACATACACACACAACCTGTTGGGGGTTGCGACAACTTTGTTGTGTAATAAAAAAAAACATAATGTATAAAATGCAATATACAGAAAAATAAACAAGTCGGGAGTCAGTTTTAGGTTTGTCTTTCTCATAAAAAATATAAACAGTTACACTTAATATGTCAACTTAACAATGTAGATTTTTTTAATTACGATAATATTATAACTATGAGTATATTAAATACCTTAATCAAACATAAAACATTACAAAAATTAAGCAATTAAATCAATTTGAATAATCTTCACAACAAATAATCAGTTCTTTCTTGTCTTTACTGTCTTTTAGGCCCTCAATAATTTTATAACAGTGCGAAAATAATGTGTTTACGAATTCTAAAATGGCACATGCGTCACACGAAAAACTGAGATTTATACAGAAGTTTTCTTAGTGGACATGACTCTAAATTTAAAAGGAAGCTCACCATCCTCGTTCAAATAATTTTTTACAGCAGTAAACGACATTACAAAGCACTTTTCTTCAGCAAACGTTATATCAATGTTTGATGTGTCGTTTGTGCAGATTTCGGTAATTTTAAATTTTCTAGTGCCTTTGTAAACTTCAAATTCATAGTAATAATGTTGGGCTTGACTTTTTAATCCTATAAATTGAAAATGAAAGTAAATCTTTTTATTCGAGGTATCAACTCTGTGTTTGCAGTATAAATAACTTTGCCCACTGAATAAAGATATTAGATAGACATTATTAAAGCTGGTTTTTAGGCTAACTTTCATCACAGCATCAGTTTTAAACTCTAGTCTAGTATTATCTTTATGATTTCTTTTAAAATGTTGATAAATTTCTGAATAATCACCGGACCAATTACACGACCACTTTGCAAATTTTTTTCCTTCGCAGGTAAATTTTCTAAATTTACACTCCAGTTCATGAGTTTCTTTATCTTGCTTGTTGACCACGAATTTGCAACCTTTATGCTGATAAGCACAATCGAATTTAAGAACATCTTTTATTCCTTCTATCAATTGTTCCAGCTGATAATTTCTTGTAGTAGTTAATTGCTCTCTACAGGTGGGACACATTTTAATGCCACTCTCTTTAATGCACAAACCACACATGCTGTGGCCTACTTTGCACTGAATTATCGGAGGTTTCATAGTTTCCAAACAAATCGGACATTGCATAATTTGCTCTGCAGCCATATTCCTGAAACAAAAGACAAACAATTATAAACTGTATTATTACAAAATATTTATTTCGAGACATTTATTCAAACCTAACCTTTCACGTTTTACGAACTTTGAACTTTTTCTTGTTCGCATTATAGTATTGTACTCTATAGACAGTTTTAAATAGAACGATGGATATTTTCGTTTTGTTGCGGATGAACTCTTTAGAATTTCTTGTGCAGCTCTGCGTGATAAATACTTCAAACTTGACACAACTAAAATTATTCATAAATACGCGTGTCAGATGACGCACTAATATGACAAGCTTTAAGATAATTTTAATGTCAGAATATAGTTATCAATACTTAACTGCTTCGAAATATTAGACATGATAATTTCACTATTTGGACACTTCAAAAGGTGGGCTAAATTTTTTATTAAATAATTTATGAAAAAATAATAAAAGAAAAATAAATTTTTTTACGTATACCCATAGATAAATAATCTAATCATAGATAAATAATATAATAGTAGAAATCGATAGGCAACTCAATGTATAAATTTCGTTCATTAGGAGCCCTTGCGGCTAGGGTCAATACTAATTATCTTTTGGCGGCAAATTCGAATGGACACTACTTACATACAAACCCTTTAGCACCTCTTGCGAGCTATTTCGTTACTAATTAAAATTTACTGGAAAATAAGGATATATAAAAGATGCACAGATCTAGATATACTTATTTGTTGTTTAAAATAAAACAGTTATAAACTAATTACATAATATTTATTACACATATTTTCAGAAACAAATGTTAAATATTATTATTGTTTGTTTCCTGACAACTTACTATCATCATCCTTTTTGTAATTTTTCCATGATTTGTACACAACGGAACAATACAATACTTCACCATGTTTAGTTTTTTTACTAGCACAACACAAAAATTCTTTGCTACAAAATAGGTAACTCAAACTAAACTTTAAAAACTAAGTAACCAACTTAAATTAAAATTACTAAGAATAAATATGCAAACGAAAGTTAAAGATAAAATAAAATTGAAAATCATGAATGTGTTGCTTGTGTGAGTCCATTTCAAATAGGTAAAAAAATAATAAATAAGACTTATTCACAATCAATTTAATTTATCAGACGACCGGTTTCGCTTTCTACAATATGCAAAGCATCTTCAGGTCTCGATACAAAGTTAAATAAATGCTGAAATGATAAAAACCCATATTAGGGTGTTGTCTAATAAAGATAAACAAATTAGATGTTGTAAATTAGAATAATTATGCCAATATTACATGTCTGTGGTTTTATTTCAAAATGAGTAAGTTGAATAAAAAGGTACCTATAAAAAGTTTTAAAAGTTTAAACAGACAAGGTAAGGCCCACAAATTGTTATAAAATAGTCTATTAGATTGTAATAAATTAATAAATGAGCAAATAAATAAACATTACTTACATGCCGGTACTCTATTAATTGATGGATGGTAGAACATGGTTGAAACTACTATGTATTGTTGAATGGAGAACTTAATTCTGCTATTGTAGTTGTTTGACAGTAAACGGGAAGTTTTTGGAATAGATAGATTTGATCCAATGAAGCAGATATATGTGTGTGATTGTTAAATGAAAGTGATGTTATATACCATTGTATTATTTAAAAGTTATTTATACTTAATCGAGAGATATATTTATGAAATGTGTGTTATTTATTGAGTAATTGTTTTATGAAGGTGACAGTTTTATGGCAATGAATAAGTTTAGATGTACAAATTGTGTGGGCGTGCAATTATTTTTCAACTTGTAATTATCAAATTTCTTTGATAAAGTTCTATTGGCAAAATAGTAGATTATTGCAAAGTCAAGTAAATAAAATATTAGAATTAAAACAATTAAGGACTTATTTGTCTTCCTATGAATCTCTTTCCTTGAATCTTTCCCTGCATAATCAGTGGAGCAAGGTGTATTTCTCTCCACTTTATTTTTCCTTCTCAGAACCTCTTTGTTTGTGACGTGTTCTGTCCACGATATTTTCAGAATTCTTTTGTACACCCACAGTTCGAATGATTCCAGTTGTTTCATTGATTTCGCATTCAAGGTCCAAGATTCCATTCTATAAAACAAAGTCGAAAAAGCATAGCACCTCGCCAACCTAACTCTTAGTTCCAATTTTAAATCCCTTGTACATACCACTCTTCTCATCTTGTTGAAATTTGCTCTAGCCTTTTCTATTCTGATTTTGATCTCCTTAATGTATTCATTTGTGGAGTTAATCATTGTTTTTAGATATGCATATTTGTCCATTTTTTTGAAGTTCTTCTTCTTCTTCTTTTTTATAAGCAAAATGCTTGTTCAATGTCGATTAATGCCTCTATTGGAGGTTATCGCTCCATCTTTTGCGTGGTCGCCCGATACTTCTTCTACCTTTTGGTGATTTGTCCCTCGCTATTCTGACTAATCGGGTCTCTTCCATTCTGTTTATGTGTTCGTTCCATTCCTTTTTTCTGTTCAGTGTCCACTCATTTATTTCTGGTATATTGCATTTTCTTCTGATCTCTTCACTCCTCATTCGATCCCTCAGTGTGTTTCCTGTAATTCTCCTCAGTAAACGCATCTCCGCTGTTTATAGTAGTTGCTGAGTTTTGAGGTATCCGGTCTTGTCTCTGAAGTGTATGTCATTATTGGTCTTATTGTTGCTTTGTAGATTCTTGATTTCACGTCGGTATTAATGTGGGGATTACGCCATATCGTGTTATTAAGACAACCTGCTATTTTATTAGCCTTTTGTACTTGATTTTTCACTTCCTTCTCCACATCTCCGTAGCTAGACAGTGTAATTCCTAGGTAATTTGTCTCCATTACTTGCTCAATGCTGATACCGTCGATTTCCAGTTTACTTCTAATTGGTTCTTTACTGATTACAATTGTTTTAGTTTTCTGTGTAGAGATCACCATATTAAAGTCCTTTGCCCTTGTCTTGAATCTATGGTTAGTCTTTGTAGATCGTCTTCATTGGATGCAATTAGGGCCGCATCATCTGCATAGCAGAGTATTCTGATTTCTTTGTTCCCCATTTTGTATCCTCTTCCTTTATTAATAGTATTGATGATTTCATCCATGATTAGATTGAATAGCGTTGGACTAAGCGGGTCTCCTTGTCTTATTCCATTGCCCATATCTATTGGATCTGTAAGCTGGTCATCTATTCTGACTTCCATATTGTTGTTCTGGTAAATGTTCTCTATTGTTTTTATAACATTTAGTGGAATTTCTCTATCGTAAAGAAGGTGAATTACATCTTTAAGCTTTACTTTATCGAACGCTTTCTTCAGGTCTATTAGACATATGAATGCTGGTCTGTTATACTCTAGTGCTTTCTCGGTAATCTGTTTTATGATGAATACTGCTGTTCATCCGCTAAGGTAATTCTCTGATTTATTTGGCCTTGCAATATTTTGGTTGTAAGCTTCAAAGTGGTGTTTAATAAGTTGATACCTCTGTAGTTTTCAGGTTGTTTTTTATCTCCTTTTTTGTATAGTAGGATAAGCTCGCTTTTCTTCCACTCTTCAGGTATTTTATTATGTTTGATGATTTTGGTAATTAGTGCTGTTAATTTTCGAAGTTGATTCCGTTTATTCTCGTTATTTCTTTGAGTTTTCGATATTTTCATAAATTTCGTCTATTGGGCACATGAGGATTGTACCAATAGTTATAAAAGGAAGATTCCTAGTTATAAAATGAAGGTTCGATTTACCGTGCATGAACTTGATCATTGGGTAATAACACATCAAAATATATAGTTGGTCATAATCTATAGGCTACATCTTTTCGATACTGCTGTACGGAGTAGAGACTTAGACTTTAAACAAGAGCAATATCGATAAACTAGAGGCCTTGGAAATGTGGATATATAGAAGAATTTTGAAAATACCTTGGACAGACAAAATAACAAATATTAGTGTAGTTCTTCGAAGAATAAACAAAGAACGGGAGCTGTTGATCACCACCAAGAGAAGAAAGTTGGAATATCTTGGTCATGTGATGAGAGGGAAAAAGTACCGATTGCTCCAGTTAATTATCCAAGGAAAGATTCAGGGCAAACGAAGCGTGGGGAGACGAAATATATCTTGGCTGCGCAATTTAAGAGACTGGTTCCAGTGCACATCTAATCAATTATTTAAAGCAACAGCTTCAAAGATAAGAATAGCAATGATGATTACCAAACTCCGTAGCGGAGAGGACACTTGAAGAAGAAGAATCTATAGGCAAAAACAAAAAGCTATCTGAAAATTAAGCGTCTTTCTTTTAAATATTAAATATTTATGTTTTAAATAATATTCCCGACCTATTTGAGAGTTGTTTTCACAGATCCTTCCTGGTCTATATGTGCTGAGAACACAACGAAACATGTTTCATTCCACTGTCATCTCATTATAACAAAAACTACCTAATAGTTAATAATTCTATAATTACTCGTTTCATTGGGTGATTAATATTAATTTTATATTTTATATACAGAAAACACTTTTAGTTACGATCTTTTACATTCAAAACGTTGGTGTAGCAGTCAACTCTTCTTTATCTCCGTTATTGAAAAATATCATGTTGATAATAACTATAAATAATTAAATAATGTATAATCTACTAAATTTAATATTTAAAAAGAAATAAATCGTTACCTTTCTTGAACATTCTAATCAGTAAAGAGGATGATATAGTCAACAACCAAACAAATATTTAAATTATAATTCAAATAATAATGTCAATGTTAAAAGGTCATTATTAGGCGAGCGGTTTACCCCTCAAAAGACGCTTAGAAACAGAATATACCGACTATAAATTCTTTTTGCATTTCTAATGCACCAAACCTTTTTTATTCGATTCTATTCGCTCCGTGCGCGTGACCATGGTAGGGATACATTGAAACGATGCCAGCGTGCGTAGCGGCGAAATATGACAAAATGGGAATATTGGACAAAATATTTTTACGCATAAATTTTATCAAAAATGCGTGCAAATACACGTTGCGT